ACTAACCAAGCAAATATCGTGTTCATCATTCAGTGGTTCCGTACTAGTAATCAGTCGACGTGTCCATTGTGTCGGCAAGCTAGCTTCTAAAAGTTTTCAAAATGTCGGATCTGGACATATGGCTCATTACAATCACTATTTGTCGCAAGTTACAACAAAACTACCACTGGCACTGTGTATCACTTGAAAATTGTATTGCCCCTAAGCACTGTACTTTACAACAAACATCCTTTGATTCAAAAACAAACACCATTACATCATGCTTCTCAACATCGCTCCCCCAACATGGTACCCCATAGACTTATAAAACGACAGCGGGAACGTCGGCGGTGCGAAATGGGATGGCGCGAGACCGTACCCGGACCCGTCGACGGAGGAAACACAGTGAGGGGTACGTACCATACTCCGTCGCCGCGATACGTGTCCGCAGGCACGATGACATCGCCAAAGCGTAACCGATCCCTTGTTCCCACCCGATCCAAAAATGTTCTCAGCTCCGTCACCTTCCCAACAAATGTTTCCATCAAAGCATTACACAACCGAAAACAGAACCCCGCCCCGTCCTGGGCTGGACCCGACACGGGTCCCGTGGTTTGCTTGTCCGCCGCATCGAACCCGTATGCACCCAACTCTCGAGTTGTTCTTCGATGGTTTTGAGGTGGCTGGGTGCGAAGAGGAGGGGTGTCCAGTGCGTGAGGGGGATGTCGTCGCGGGCGTCGGGTAGGAACGGGTCGGTTTGTGGAGTGTCGTGCTCTACGGTGAAGACGTTGGGGTGGAGGTTCGCTAACCCGAAGACACAGTACATATAGACGCCCTCAGTCTGCTCGCGTGGCCAGAAACCGGATGCTAGATAAAACGCGCAGCGGAACCAGGCGCTGCGTGTCGTTGATGGGGTGACTGGACACGACACACAGTTGACGTATTATTTGGGGGCTTCTAGTTGACCTCGCGACGGCCTTTGAGGCTTTGAACCCATACCTCCCGGTATAACGGCTTTATCATACCCCCATGACTCACTCATCAGCGCCTTCCTCAACCCAGGCTCAAAATAATCTTTGAATTCATGGTTCTGGCTCCAAGAGGGGTGGTTCAACTCCATATCAACGTACACCTCCCTCCACAGCGGATGATCCATCACCCCTTGTTGAAACACAGCCCGACATGAGGGTGAAACTGAGGAGATCGCGGAAAGATGGTTTGAGGCTGTGTGAAATTATGTGGATGCAGGGGGCGAGGAGGATGTTTGGGAGTGGCATGGACGACATTGTTTGCCGAGGAGAGGGCTCGACGGGACGCCTTTTGTAGATGGCCGGTGTGGCTGAGTGACCGCGGAAGGGACTGTACAACAACTGAAGCCGAGAGCCCCGGTTTGAAATCGCTTGTTAGGAGTAAATTTAGTACCGTGTACTTGCGCCTGCTTCCGCTTGGAGGTTCCTCGCTTTAGAATAAGAAGGGGAACATTCACGCCGGCTGCTCAAACGTTTCTGTCCGTCATTATTGCCGGGCATTTTAGACTAGAACAAAGGACTGGATATCCAGATGAGGAGTCTGGATACCCGAATGAAAAAAAGCGCTGGTAGAAGTAGGACAGGACATTGGTTACATTTCATGAAAGCACTTTAGCGCAGAGGAAGCGCGTTGGGCTCATAACCCAAAGGCCCCAGGATCGAAACCTGGAAGTGCTAATCGCAGTACCGCGACCCCACCTTGCCTTTTTTTTTTCCGTTCTTCACGGTGCAAGTACAACTTACTTATTCTTTTTCCCTTTCTGCACTCAATATTTTCTGGTGAATATATGCGCACGTCGATTTATTTTGTTGAATGCATTTGAGTAATGCGTAATGGAATACATTCAATCAACAAGCCTGCTTTCGTTGCAAACTCCCAAATAGCATCAGTCCTCCGGCAGAGGAACAAAGATATAGGAGAACCAGCGCACATTGCAATATTTGGAATGAATCTGCGCGTTCGTCTTTCTTCATAGCGGTCCCTTCCGCCTACCCTCATGTTTGACATCCATCTCCAACTCACTACCACTTCCTGCACTTTCTCCCCCCTTCAGCGCGCGCAATTCCCCTTCGAGCTTTTTGATTAAAGCAGCAGTCTCCTTTTCCCGTCTTTGCATGTCCGAGATATAGTCATATGCTGCATTTTACGGTAGAGTCAGAGACGTTTCCTTCGCACCGTGCAGAAAAAGGATGGAAATGACGAGAAAGCACATACATTTCTTCAAAACCAACACTTTACTGGGATTCTTCTCTGAAATGGGCGGTAGTAATGTCTTCAGCTCTTCAAACGACTGTTTCAAGGAATCCCGCCGACGTTGTTCGGCTTGTTTGTGGTTCGTTCGTCGGATTTCAACGCCTGTGGAGATGTCGGACGTATACTGGAGGCCGAGCACTCTAGCAAGAGCGGAAACCAAAGACGGCGAATCAGCGCAAATAATACGGGTATGCAGCATGAACATTGGCCCGCTTACTCTGTATCGCCTTCAAGAATGTTTTGGTAATTGCTTTTTTGCGCAAGACGGAGGGCCGCATCAATGCTTTTACCCGCGGAACCTGAAAACGATGGTTTAACCCAACCGGAGACGCATCCAGTACCAGCACTCAGATGTTCTACTCACCACCAGGCAAAAGTGGCTTTAATGACGGTGAAATTATCGACGTCGGTGTCGCGGGCGCGATGGGCAGATCGGGCTTAGCATCAAGTTTCATAAGCTGACTCGGTGTGATTGGGGCAATCGCGGCTGGGTCCAGCCGTGGAGTTAACTTAGGGGATATTAGGGTTGCCGCCGCCGCTTGAAGAGCCATCTGCTCATTCGTGTTTGTTCGATCTTGTCCTTGTGAGCTTTGCTGGGTAGGAGAGGGCGTGGTTTGAATTTGAGAAGGAGTTTTGGGGATAGGCGCTTTGAACACTGTCGACACAGCTATAGGGTGGGCGACGGGATTTTGTTGGACTTCTGGAGATTTACTGGTCCGGGAAGACACCGGCCGTAGCGAAGGTGAGATGGTGACGTTTTTGCGTGGTACAATGTATGGCGAGGAGAGAGGAGTCTTTTTTGATCGTTCGGAAGGCCTCGATTGTGATGAATCGCGGCGTCGGATTGCAGGAGGGAGTGGAGGAATTGCTGCTGGGCCCAAATCAAGGGAGAGATTGTGGCGCGGTTGGAGGGCGGGCGATGTAAGGGGGCTGAAGACTTCGTTAGTTTGGGTGAGGGACATTCTGGTGAAATCGATGCTTGGGGTCATCGCCGGAGATATTAATGGTGTAAGCATCAACTGTGAAGTGAAGGGCTTTAAATGATCCGAGAAGAGGGAACTGATGGTAATAACAAATCAACGCTTGGACACCTACGTCTTCGTCCTCTTGCCTCTCTTCGCGCATCAAGCTCCCATCTCCAGCGAGAAAGGGGGACATTAAATCATTGAAATTATATGAATTGTGGGGACGGGAGAATGCCTCCCCTTGGAACATAGTCGGGGACAAGACTGCATGTTGCCCTTCCGTGCTCGTTCCAAGCGTTTGTTGAAGGTGTGATTGGTGTTGCTGTTGCTGTTGCTGGTGTTGCTGCTGGTGTTGCTGCTGGTATTGCTGTAGTTGTTGCTGTTGCTGTTGCTGTTGCTGCTGCTGCTGCTGCTGCTGCTGCTGTTGTGCTGCAGCGGCGGCAGCGACAAACTGCTGCTGTTGCTGTGCCTGTTGCCGAGCCAACTGCTGTTGTTGAGCAGCCTGGAATTGCTGAAGAGCGTACAACTGATCAAGCTGGTTCATCTGATACTGCGAGGGCAGCTGAGATGCGGTCGCTTGCGCGATTGCCAAGTACTGCTGCAACTGCTGATCGCTAACTTGCGGAGGCAACACGGGGGGTTGCGACGTGTTGAACAGGTTCGCATCCGAAGCCGTAAATGCGTTTTGTAAGTACGCATCCATCTCATTGCCGTTCCCAAAGATGGCCATATTTGAGTCCTCCATTCTGTCCGGGACTGAATGGAGACCGGATGAGATGGGTAGACTGTAGCAACAGCCCGTAGCCGCGCCAGACATACCTCCTGACTCGTATAGAATCATTCCAAGTCAAACAGACCTTCCTTAAACCTGAAGCAGGAAGCAGGAAAGAGTCAATGGCAATCTCCTTGAAGCGCACCTCCAAGACACATGAACAGCATCTAGATATCCAATTCTTTCCCATGCAAGGACCCCTCCTCCTTTCCCGCCAATCGCTTCCTTCCAATCGAAGCGTCAGACCCGAATTCGGCAATATCACATAAATTCTCCTCCTCCTCCTCCTCCATATCCCTCCAAACCAAGTGAAGTGACTGGCACCTCAAACACACCTTCCGACCCGAGGGTAGGAGAATATGCGGTCCAACCGGTGAAGAAGAGGCCAAAGATGGAGAAGCCTGAGTACTCTATATCGTTGAAAATTCCAAACTACGGTTACTATGCGACATGACACGTCTTTCCATTTCGCCAAAGGAACGCTTCCCGCTCACCAACCACTGAGTGAGACGACAGGCCAATTGTGTGGGAATGCGTCGGGCAACCCCTGGAGCTTTGGGTATATGAAGCTTCCAATGGAAAGTGCCGTGTGGAGCGGTTTGCAACCTCAACTTGTCAGTTGCGGAGAGCTCATTGGGGTCTACTTTTTGTTCGCGGGTTGAGATATTTGAGTGATGTGGGGCCAAGAGCATGAGGGGCTGGTGCATCCATCGCGTGGCGCCGAGCGTGGGAAACGCCCCCAGCCAATCAGAGTGCGTTGCTGATGAACGTGCGCCAGGGATGTCACTCAATTTCATTTCACTTCGTTCCTAGCTTCGTTCCAGTGGCATGTCGAGCACAGGAGCACACGCAGAACAAGCTCTTTCAGGAAACCCCAAACACGAATTGAACACCACAAAAACACAACAACTTCAGAAATATCATATTCATTGGGCTGTCGCACGGAACGAAAAGCGGATTCCGGAGGATGGAAAAAAAAGAACACGCAGTAGTCTCTATGATAGCACTTCCAGGTTTCGATCCTGGGGCCTTTGGGTTATGAGCCCAACGCGCTTCCTCTGCGCTAAAGTGCTGATGTTCGTATAAAATTCAGTTGACATATATAAGTCCAGAAGCTGCACTCCGGGTATCAAACAGTCGATGCCACCAACTTCTTGCTGTACTGTTGAAATGAAAGCGCATCCTGCTTTGTTCGCATGTCGGAGAATTAGAGACAACAGCTGTGGCTCAACCACTGGGTTTAAGCAGTTCCCTTCTCAAATAAGAGCGAACAACTGCGTCATCTGCACAATTTGCGTTGACTGATGACGGTGGTTCTCGCCGGGCTGGAATCAACGGACTTTTCGAAAGTTCTAACTGCAACCAATGGCGCTCCAATGGCATAGTCATTTTTCAATGCCTATCAACAGCCAGGGAACTCTTGATAATTGAATACATCACGATTGTCGGAGCGATTTTGCAACACAAATTCAGGAGGAAAGAACATGACTTTTTCACCTTCTGAGTGCAGGCGCTGTGATTGCGAAAGTTGGAATTCATCTATTTTATATCATGTATTATGCAAGAGCCTGCAGCTTGCTTCGGATATCTTCGGCCAAAGCCTCAACACTGTCGATGCTTTGCATCAACGCGGCCAACATGGGACTTGACGACTCGGCAGCGAATTCGTCTACGATTTCAACCGGTCGGCCTTTATAAGTGCTGCGGGATTTACAAGGTATTCATTGTTTTGGTTAGAGGAAACGAGCGAAAAGCATGCAGAGAAGTCAGGCGAGATGAATCCATACTCAATCTTGAATGTTTTGAATTTGCCCAAAATTTTGCTCTGGATTTGCAAAGGGATAGCGGATTGGTGAAAGCTGAGGGCAAAGATGGAGATGAGGAGGGAGGTTTGGTTGACGTGGAATTCAACGACTAGGTCTTCCGGCAGTTCCGGAGTGAACGCCTAATTTTTAAGAGAAGCTTTTGTAAGGATGCTGGCGCGCATCTGACATCCAGAACGTCAAAGACATGCCTTTGGGTCGCATTCTTTATTTGGGAACACGCTGCTTTCGTCAATTCGAGTCAGTGCGTCTCGAGCATTTTCGACAAATACGGTGACCTCGTCCAAAAGCTACGCAGACAGCAACATAACGTAAGACCATCGCACCAGTTGAACGAAATAGTTGCTTTCGAGTAACGGAAATAGAAACCTGCAACAATCGAGATCGCTCATGCCGTCCCTGTGCTTGCGATTCAAAGGTATCTAGTGCCACTACAAGAGCGTTCCGCGCTGTTTGGAGCTGGTCGGACGTGTTTGTTGAAACCGAGGAAGGATCGGTCAAGCACCATGATTATGCGCACGTTCGCATAATAATACCTGGTAAAGGACGTAAGGCCTCGCCGGATTGATAGCAACTTTAAAAGGGTTTCCCCGGTTGTAGTGCGGGAACTTTATATGAAGTTCCTGCGACATCAGTCCAGTGTCAAATACTGAACGCCGGCTAGCTGGTAACAGTGCCGAAAGACCTCATCACATTACCCCTTTCACAATCCCGGTTCCACTAATCGTCACAAAACCTTTAACGATGTCGCTACTACACAATGATACAGCAGCGGGTTGTCTTTGGTTAGTCATGTACGATTGCCGGAAATCACAGCTCGGGCTCACTTTTGCGATGTAACGGCCAACGTATGTGCCGAGGTGGGCGGCTTCTGGCCTGCTGCTATGTGCGGCTTTGAATAAGATGTGCTTCCCAGCGTTCTAGCTTGATATATCACAACCGTCTATCTCACCAGTTTCTGAAGGTGCGCTGCAAAGTTCCACACCTCGCTGCTTTGACTACTTAGTGCCATCTTTCCTACAATGATGCCTTCGACCGTTCTTACCCTTAAGTAAGAGCCAATTTGCTGGAGCCGTGGCGGTATTTCTGTTTTCAGTAGCCAGTCTAATTCCTTGGTCTGTGGAGGACAGCATAATCACCTGTTATGAGTAATACTTGGCGCCACGACGCACGAGTCTCCCCAACCCACCAATGCTTCTCTTTCTTTTGCGAGCACCACACCTTCATCCTCCCTTGCTGCCATTTTAGAAGGATGTGCAACGTGATGGAAGACGAGACGAGCGGAGACGCGAAGTCAGCCTGGGAGCCATGACGGAGTCACCTGTGTGGCTTGCCGACAAGCATGTCCGATCATCTGGACATCACAGAGGCGTCGCTGATGTTGCTCGCGAAACTGCAATAGATATGCCAAAAATTGCTGTGCTGAGGTCAGAAACCATGTTTGAGACCGCCCTTTCCGGCGTCCTATGGAGTGGAACAAATAATTCTACGGGAAGTCATCGTTTGGATATCGATTTTGCTTGCGTACCTACATTGCTAGAAGCTAGGCAATCCATAGGGAATTTACGTTGTGTACGAGGAAGGGTTTGTTGTAATCTGAATGGAATGTGCGATTTAGCTAGAAATTGGAATGGGCACTAGAGATATTGGATTCCGCTTGCTCTTACCCTCGCTGGCGCGGGACCAACCTTTTTATCGTCCCTTCAAGCAGTTATCTTCTATGCAGCCTTGAGGGAAAATGGTTTTCATCCTGTTTTTCTGATATTGAATTACGTCCGTCCATCCTAATACCTGTTTTCCTTCAACAAATTCACAGAAGGAGTCGGATAGTCACAGAGCGTAGTATTATATTGAACATTAACGAAACTACGAAACAATTGAGATACAGCCACAATCTAAGTGCTAATATAAACCCTATCCCTCCCCTAGGGTACGTCTAACCCTTCTCCTCACAACTTATCAATTAATGGGGGAATGTCTGTACTGTTCACCAAATTTAAACTTGTCTTGGCGAAGATCTGCTGGGCACTGCCTTTTCACCCGGTGAAGTACGCGTGCGTTGCAAAGCATACTCTGTCGGCAATGCTCCCTCTCTTTACACTTCCAATGATATCAATGAGGACTTCGACAACTTTGTCAATCGTCGTCGTGCTGTTGCCTGAAATGTAGTCCACGAACTCTGGGCAACAACTGCATCAAGTGGCGGAAAGGTAAGAATAGCGAGGTATCCACTGTGCGACTAGAAGAGCATACCGATAAATCAGCGGCATGTAGAATGAGTTAACCAGCCAGTCGTGTCTTTCGTACGCATCCTCAAACATCGCCTGTGATGAGTGCCGTGAGTTTGCCTTGGAAATAAGTTGAGCTACGTCATGGCACTCACTTGGAATCTCGGGTTGTTCCTGATGGAATTCGATATGACATCCTCGCGGTAGGCTTTTTCAAGTTTTTCACGGGTATGGTTAATGATTTTCGAGATTTCACTGGCGGAAGGGTATGTTGGGTCGTAAATCCAATGATGTGCCTTGAGATACAAATTGGCGGGAAATCATAAGAAGCAACGAAATCATAAGAAGGAACCCTCAAGCCACTCAAAAGCTCACCAGTTCTTGAAAGTCGGTGTCCTTATGTTGAATAGCTTCTTCAAAATTTGCACCGTCGATTCGAATTACCGCTTTGGGATCCCATTCTTGCTCAATGTGACTTTTTCTAACGGCCAGCGTAACGTGCCACACTCTTGATAGGCGGACCGATTCGAATCTAAATATACCGTGCAGAGCGGCGTTCAAGGACGGAACGACCGGCAGTTGCAGATCTTCTCTGCGGAACAGCCTCGAGTCATCCGAGCATGATGCACCCGCGTTGCACAGGGGAAACGGAGACAGGTGAGACGTATCCTCAATAAATTCGAAGTAGAAGTCAAGAGACTCAGGGAGTGCGGTATGCAAGTCGAATGTTGGAACACACTCCTCCAGAGCGCGGCTGAGAAGCTCGATGCGGTAAATCTTCCGAGCGCTGTGCGGCATCTTGAACCACATTGCTAGAGAAAACCGCAAAGAGACACATCACCGAATGTGAAACCTCGGGAATGTATAATCAGGAGTGGTGGCTTACCAGCTCGAATGAATTGATCGTAAGCGTTTCTCGCGTTTTCTGTAGTCAAAGAGTTGGCGTCGTGGTAATTGGGTATCCACAATTTCAGCTCGGAATCCAATTTCTCCATGTTGGCTAAGACGCGGCACCTGCGCCAGAACCAGTAGACCGTGAGACATCTCTTAACCATTTTACTGATTTGGGGAATCCATACCTGTTCAAAATGTCAGATACGGTGCCTCTCAAGCACCAAGTAAGGTGATGATCACAATTCTCATTGGCAGGAGCAAGAAAGTCATTGTAGTACTGCAAAATAACGCTATCCGTCGTGTTTGTAATAGGGAGGATTTGTGACGCAATACGAGGTAGCTTCTCTATCTCTGCAATTAGAGCGGATCTACGGGCCTGTCGAACTCGTCCTTTCTTTTCCTCTTCTTCAGCACGTTTGCGTCTTTTTGCCGCTTCAGCTGAAGTGGGAAAACATTGGCATGCAATGACGTCCTCTAAGCTTCAACAGACAGGCTATTACCCACCGGCACTAAATACACCTAAATAATCTTCAGCAATTTTTCGAGCCTTTAAAAGGCGGGATCGCGTTGTACCAGTCACTTGAAAGACGCCCTGATCAATGACCCAGGCCATTCCGTTGGAGAGATAGTCCTCCTGCCCGATGTCGAGGGTATCCCGCGCGAAATGGTTGTCCCAATTAGACTTGAGGGTTGCAAGAACCGCTTCTTCCATTCGCTCGCGGTCTTGCGCTTCGTCCAGCACAAGACGTGCGGCAGTTGCAGCGTGAGATCGCAAACTTTCGTCAATTTGAAGCGGCTCAGCATGTACAAATTTTTCAAAAGCTGTGCATTTCAAGAATTTGCCAAGGTTGTAATGGGGCCACAAATTCGGAGTCAGGTCGCGGATTTCGTGCAATATCGCTTCTTTCCGAGTCCTTTGCGCGAGGTACAGAGCCGTGTCTTTGAGAATGTATGTCAAAGGACGGTCTGGTAGGACGTTGGTGTCAGATTCGGGCTCATCCCCCTTGATGAAGTGGCGAATCTCTCGCGCAAGATCGGGTGGAAACTCTGGGTCCCGCTCAATGCCGTCGACATCAAGCTGGGACCCCGAAGACATAAGCCGGGATTCCAAATATGACTTTCGAGCTC